CACACGAGCCGTCGTCTTTACACCCGACAAACAAGACTAGCTTTGGTGTATTCGTATCGATGGGAATAACCCATTCTGTTTTTAGCGGGGTTTCTTGTCCCAGAAGCGTTTGAGCCGCTCGTTCTACTTCATTCAGTACCTGGCGTTTTTCGTTCACTTCAGGGCCGACGTATTCGGTGGTCTTTCGCAGTAAATCACCCACAGTATCTGATGACGAAATAAGAATCAAGTTCAAAAGGTCGCTCATCTGATGCAGGTATCCTTTAACTTTTTCAGGAGGGATCACTTCAGGATCAAACACGCCCCTCAATCTCATAGTGTCCTCTGCGTATTCGCATATGATAGTAAGAACTTGGGTCGCAAAGTTAGTATCAGTCTGTTGTTCTAATGCGTCTACTTCCATCAGTTTCAATAGGCTATGAGAACGTTTTTTGGGCAAAGGTGGCCTTGCTGGCTGGACAACAAGCAAACTCTGGAACTGGCTAGCACTGACGGCTTCAGAACTGCATTGTCGCATCCGATGAACCCCAAAATGCTCGTAAGGCATTATATTTAAGACATGCTTCTGTAAATTCTTCAATGCGTCATATATCTTCTCGTCGCTATGTAGAAGGACGCGAAGGGGGAACGTGGTGATGGTAGGCCCGACAATACTAGCAGTCTCGGAGCTGTTGCGGCCCGTGACGGTCACCCCATACACGACATCCAATGATCCTGTATGACAGGCCACTACGAGGGCCCATGCAAGGCGACATGCAGTCGACAGAGTAATTTCATTTTCGTTGCACCTTTGAAGACAAAAGCTATGGACACACCTCGCGACGTTTCGGGGAATATGGCCTGGGGCCACCTTGGCTGGAAAAGGAACTGCTGCCAAATCGTCGAACTCACCTGTCCAAAATGATTTTGCGGCAATATCATCCAAGTCTAAAAGATGTTTTATGAAAGGGACAAATGGAGACGTCACGATCTGCGTCCCGTTGTATGCAGTTTCCACGGCATCTATGATATGACTGTAAGACCACGAATCAAAGAGCGCATGATGCAGAGTCAGCTTCAGTCTAGAACCAGGCCCATGCACAGTATAACAATAAAAGAGTGGTGTTCCTGGGGACATGGTATTTTCTTCATTTTGGCAGGTTGTCGCATCATTCCATGCTATGTCTTCCCGGACGACAACTTGAAGCCCGCGGGAGAGTCGAAGAGATTCAGAAATAAGGACTATTCTTGTCCTCAAAATTGGATAAGCTTGAATGACCGTGCGTAACGCATTGTTTAACTTTCGCCAGTCGATACTTGGCGGAAGACTGAGATCGAAATTCGCTCGAAAAGCTCCAGGCTTGCTTGCTGTCCAGGCCATAAGACGCTCCTGGAGGGGCGTACAAGGATAGATGTCTTCAATGTCTTCCGGAATGACGCCACATTTGCTTGCAGCAAGACCGCGAACATATTCCCCTTCGCCATCCATCAATGAGAATGGAATTATTTGCTGACAGGATACGGGCTCCATCGGGCTTGTCTTGATGCTTTGAGCTAACGTGGCGATGGTGGGGTTTTCGAAAATAGATGCAACGGTGATGTTGATACTGTGCCTAATACGTGCTTCATTCACCAAAGCAATGGCGAGAGCTGAATCCCCACCAAGATGAAAGAAGTTCGCGCTGACTCCGATTTGGTCTTGAGGTAGTCCCAACACACTCGAGAACACTTGGGCAATACAAGCATGGAGAATATCAGATGATTCGACAGGGCTTTCACTGGGATGCATCATACTCCGGAAAGATTGCAGATTTCTGCCAGATAAGCGGGACACAGTGTTGCGCAGCAACTTTCGATCGACCTTCCCAGAGGGCATCAATGGTAACCTTTGGATTGGAACAAAGACATCTGGAATCATATATCTAGGAAGTACCTCACGAAGGGTGCACTGTATGTTTCGTGCCCTCTCCCAAATTTGTGTATCGGGTTTCATGAGTAGATCCTCATCATCCGATGCTATGTTCGAACCCGGGGCGATCGGTCCGACGAACAGTACCAAAATGGGATCACGGTCCCCTTTTGTGACAACCTCAGCAATTGGCGTGATGTTAGACCATATCTCCTGAGCTAGATGCTCAATCTCCCCAAGCTCGACTCGTTGGCCGCGAATCTTGACTTGCGTATCCTTTCTTCCCATGTAAACAATGCTGCCATCGGAGTTTTGCCGTGCCAAATCGCCAGTTTTGTAGTAGGTTCCGGGCCTCTTTGACCATGGAATGTCAGAAATGAATGATTGTGCTGTTTGCTCTGGTCGGTCCAAGTATCCCCCACCAACTATCGGGCCACCAATGACGAGCTCTCCCACTGCTCCAATGGGTACAAGCTTCGAATGGTTTTCGGGCTCAACAATCCAGGATGATCCCGCAGCACTGTACCCAATGTTACGAGGATCACTAACCTGGCTGAGCCCTGATTGAATTGTGGAGACTATAGTACATTCTGCTGGGCCATACGCCTGGGTCAGGTGTAGTTGGCCTGCCCACCGGGAAATATCTGACGGACGCATAGTTTCCCCTCCGACGACGAGGGTCTTAACTTCAGGTATAGCGCTGAAATCAAGGAGTCGTGCCACGGAAGGCACCAACTCTATCCAGTTTACCCGAAGATCTAGGATAGCTTGCTGAAGGTTGTCTACCCGCTGAGACTCCGAAGGGATACACACAGAGCCCCCTAACATCAGGGGAGTCAACGTTTCATGGATACTGACATCGAATGCATATGATGCAAATTGCAAGACGCGGGAGGAGCAGCTAAGATTCTGCAGAGGACTGCTAAGAGCCATGTTAGTGCAGAAGTTTCCATGGCTGATGACAACGCCCTTGGGGGTCCCAGTGGAACCCGATGTGTATGCGATGTAGGCTGGATGATGGGCTTCAGATGCCGAAATATCTTCCTGCTGGGTTGCGGACGTAAGGGTGACGGGGTCCGTAGTGGGAATGGTAATGGACTTAAAGTCCAGACATGATGTCGAACATCCCTGCTTGATCGAACACAGGATTACCGGGGCTTTCACATCGTGACAGATGGCTTGCACCCGAGCTTGGGGAAATGATGGGTCAATGGCGACAAAAGCAGCTCCAGCTTTGAGCACACCCAGCATTGCCACCACTGTCCACTTTGACTTCTCAAAGAGTAACGGAACTATCATTCCAGACAGTACATCTCTGGCATGTAAAACATCACGAACCTCCGACGATAACATATCCAATTCCCCGTAGGAGAATGACCCATCCCAGGCACAAACGGCTTCAGCTTCGGGTCGCCTGAGACACTGTCGCTCAATGCAATTATGAATTGTGTCACCCAGTGGTCCTGTTGACGTCGCTCGGTTCCACCTATTGAGCTGGCGTCCATGCAAGTCACTGATCAGGTCTATGGACTTTAGCGGAAGTGTAGACTGCAGGCTTTTCAACGTATGAATCAAAGCCGAGTTCAACAATTCTGCCTGATCTTGATCTAGAAACGATTCTTGACTGTATATGCATATTCGGAAACGGGACTTTGAATAGTCTATCCCTATAGTAAGATCGACATGTTTCTGGCACAGTTGTTAATGCCTATGCACACTAGACCATAAGCTGCACGATGCGAACCTTTACTTGAGCCAATCTTTCTATGGCCTTGAGTCCAATACTCTCGAGGAGGAACGTGTTGAAGTCATGGTCAGAGCCCAGCTCTCTATTTTCCCAATCACGTACTTTATATAGGGAGATAGCCTGCGGAATATGTGCCTCTTCGTTTATTGACGCCTTCCATTCCTCCAAGGTGCCGCTAGCCGAGATTGCTCCGAATAGTACCGTAGAGGTGTTGACATACTTGGAAAGGAGAATAGACCAAGCAGTTTTCAAGTCCTGGAATGGCGATTGATTTCTTTGGCAATTTTGGTATTCAGAGACGGAAAGCGTCGTTCCAGTCGAATTCAAGTTAGTGCTAAGATTGTGTAGAAAACACGAGTCATGCTGGGATCCACGTGATCCGGTCTCGTCGTTCTTGTCAGTCATGTTGGGACTTTGACCGTACATACGAAGCAAGTTCGTCTGATAGCATATCAAGTACTCAAAATTCTCTATGCTCCTTTTTTTCTTACAAGCTTCATTTATACGGCGACTGAATCCTAAATGCTGCACGATGCTTACAAAAGAGGCTTTTGAAGTCAACTTCTAGACTGTATTTCCTGGCTCTGCAAAGCATCATGACTCTCGAATGCATTGGCAAAATACCAAATGCCAGAAGATCTTCTGCAGCTGGTCATAGTAAGTGATGATTTGTCCAAAAACAATCGAGGCTACTCTGAGTGTTACACGAACAAGCCTAAATTGATGTCACAACATCTTGATCTACATCAACCCCGAATGCCATCCAGCCAATCCAGTTTGTTTCTTCTATGACAGAGGTCCCACTTAGTCTACACAGCCGCATATAGGAGGTCTTAAGGGATGAGTGAGAGAAGCCACTGCCAGGAATCTCGCAGGCAGTTCCAATCTCAGGTGACTTTAAACTTTGTTATGTGGACACACCGACTAAGTCAACGTAATATCTTGTTCATCTGACACAAATAAGCCGAAAAGGTACATATGCCTGGCCAGGGCATTCTGGTCATGTCTCCGATGTTGTTACGGCCATCCCTTAATGGAGCCGACTCAATATGAGATACATACTTCGCCAGATGCAGATACGAACGCGTGCGTGCATCCTACATAGATCATCGGAATGATTGATTGGCTAATTACTATCAGTAGACTTCTAGGATTCCCCCCATACCCTCCTCGCGAAAAGAATATCGATAGGCGAAACGAAACATCGTGACCTCCCTGGTACTAATGGTGGAATTTGACATATATTACGGAGAGCATCACACACTACTGTTCTACCCCAGGACTGAGTCTTCTACAATCCATCGAGACGGTTTGTCCTTTCGACTGCTGGCTAGTTTTCAACCTACTTTAAACCTGTCCCAAAACATGACTTTTACGCCTGGGGTTGGCCCGGATGGGACTGCACCGCCTAACTCCTCCGGAATTCATGTTATTATTGTTGGCCTCGGTGTGGCCGGTTTAACAGCGGCTATTGAGTGTTATCGAAAGGGCCACAGGGTTACCCTTTTCGAAAGATCCCCGGTAGTGAAAGGTGTTGGTAAGTCTGAAGCTATACAAGTACTAGCTAAAGCCTGCAACTCATCAAGCTTGAAATAGAGGGTGACGGCATCACCATTGGGGCGAACGGCTCACGCGTCACTGCCAAATGGGGTGATGGGGCTGTACACGAGCGAATGTTACCTTTCCGGTTCTTTATCGAGAAGATCAAGGTCATCGAGTATACAGGCTATGACTTGGGTGAGTTTGAGCTACGTGGGTATAACCGAGGTGACGGATATACCCTCAATCGAGGCACGTTGGTTACGGTCATGTATGAGCATGCGCGCGAACTTGGGATAGACATCCGTCTAAACTCTCCTGTGACTGACTACTGGGAGACGGACTACGAAGGAGGTGTTGTGGTCCACGGGGAGCGCTTTGCAGCAGACTGTGTCCTCTGTGCAGAAGGTGTGCACAGTAAGGGCAGGGAGAAAATTACCGGAGAACAGCTTGTTTCATGGGAGACTGGCTGGTCCGCATTCCGAGGCTGCTTGAGTACGGATGCGGTAGCGGCTGATCCTGCAACCCGATGGGCCCTTGATAACGCTGAGAAATATGATCAGACAGTTGGCTGGGTATCAGATGATATTCACTTCGCACTGTGGAGAGGGAGAAAGGGAAAGGAGCTATTCTGGTACTGTACCCATGAGGTAGGTATTTTCTTTTATCCCAGGCCATATAGGTACGGATCTATACTCAACACGCTTAGAACGAGTACGCTGCGGAAGAGGGATGGGATGGTAGTACAGATGTGGTTGAGAACGTCCTTGACACCATCAAGGATTGGCCTGTGCGCCCGCAGTTGGAGCCACTCATTCGGAAAGGGAAGGGAGGTTGGTATGTCGATCAGAAGTTGGTGACAAGGGAGCCAATGCAGACATGGCTGTCTCCTCGTCGAAGGATGATGGTTATCGGAGATGCCTCTCATGCCGCTCTTCCCTCTAGTGGCCAAGGGGCTAGTCAGGCAATTGAAGATGGTGCCGTTCTAGCGATTGCACTGGAGCTAAGTGGAAAACAAGATGTTCCTTTGGCTCTGTCTGTCGGGATGGCGATCAGGTATGCTCGCCCCTCAAGAGCCACAGATTTATCCCTTGCAGTGACGGCTTACCTTTTCTATAGACACGCACGAGCATCTGTGATCCAACGTGGGGCGCCACTAGTTTTGAAATCCATGATGAAGACTACCTGCAGAGATTTGCGGAAGGATCTAAGTGGCGTTACTCCTCCACATCCAAGTTGGATTTTCGACCATGATTGTCAAGAGTATGCTTATCGCGAGTTTGCAAAGGCTGCCAACTCCATACTCACTGGCCAACCCTATCAGCCCACCAATGTTCCAGCGGATGGGGTGTATCGGCTAGAGTATAATAGTCGGCCGGTGAATGGTCAGCCATGATGACTTCTTCAGGCGAACAACAGGCGTGGGGTTTCTTCTTTAGTCCAGATACTGCCCATAGTATTGTGCTGTGTAACACAGGAAGCGTCCGAGTCAGCAAAGGGGTATTCAAGTTTGACTTCGGCACATTTAATTGTTGGGGTTCTCCACCGCAATCCTGCAGGTGAGTGTGTTGGTTTCCGATTGGATTGAACCTTCATTATCTATGCCGAGTCAGTCTGATGCAATGCCAAATTCTATCTAAGTGCTTAATCTGGAATGTCCACGTCCCTAATATCTAGGCAGCATGGATACCAGTGCATATCCTAGGTCCTTTAACCCTTTCCATTAGATGCAGATCATGCAGTAGTTCAAAAAAGGTTATACTCCTAAGATAATCTTGATTCTATCATCATTTTAGCCTCCAACCCTTAATAACAGTCTAGTAAAATTCTTCACGACACTGTCTTCTTCACACTTGCATTTCGACTCTGTCGATCTACGATCTTCAGAAAACTTTGTATAGCATCATGCGGAAGTCTGTCTAGGTAGATGATGTGTCTGTGTAACTACCCTGACCAATGAACTTTATATTACGGAATTGAAACCGAAAGTCCTAGAAATGCATCTTATCCAAAATCCTATTTTCTTGAAGAGCGAGCTTCTAAAGGAAGTAGTCAAGTAGCCCCCTGCTTGCCCATGAATTGCCCCCCTTTTAATGGAATAGCAAAAATCGGAATACACACACATACTCCTAATTTCACACAAATCGTCACATAATGGCCTATCAAACAATAATCCCCCTCACACTCCTCATCTTCGCCATTTACCATGTCCTCAGACGTCCAGGGAAGTTCAACTTGGGCAAAGCCCCAGATGAAAAGAAGGCAATTTGGGCTGGATATTACAAAGTATGCATAGTTCAAGACCTTCCATCTAAGTAGCATCTAATTAATATATACCCACTATCTGTGTAGGCGAAATCATCATCTCAAACATGGACAATCCCAAGAAAAGACTACCATCTTCGCATCCTTCCAATAAGCATGCTGCCATCGCTTCGAACCGACCATCGAATAAGTTTCACAGCGGGGGTACATGATGTATGATCTTGCTCTTCTTGTCTTCGAAGATGAATTCAGAAGTCAAACTAACAGAAATCTCCTCTACAGCAACAGCAGTCTCGCTTCACAAAGACATTCGAATGTGCCGCATTCGCCAAAAGCGTTCAGATCAATCTGAACAATCACCTAGGTAAACATGCCCTATACCGTCAACATCATCGAAACAAAACCTAACCCTCCCTCTACCTACTTAGGCAACCTCCTCCCAATAATGTACGAAGAAATGGAATACGCATTGTTGCAAGAACTGGGCAACGCACACGGTAAGCATCCACCCACCCACTACTCCACTACTCCAAACCCCCATACAACAAACCCTAACAACAACCATATCCTCCTCAGAATGGCGCCCCCTCCACCCCCTCCCCACCCTCCTCCGCATCATCGCCCTCGTCTCCGGCCGCATCAACATCGGCCTCCCCCTCAGCCGCTCCCCGACCTGGCTAGCCCTATACACCAAATACCCCTTAACAATGATGTCCTCAATCTCCTCTCTGATGAAATACCCAGCTGTGCTCCGCCCCCTAGCACAGCACTTCATCCCCTCGCTCCGCGAACTCGACTCCATCCGAAACGAAATCACCACCCTCCTCACGCCAGAATACGAAGCTATTCTCTCAGGTAAATCAGACAGGAACACCATGACCCGCTGGATATGGGACAACTGCGAGGAACACGAGCGGACAATAACCTACCAAAGCCATGTACAGGCGATGATGTCCATCGGGACGGTGTTGGCGAATGCGGCGGCCGCGGCGCAGTGTCTGGTGGATTTGGCGGAGCATGGGGAGGAGATGGTTCCGTTGCTGAGGGGGGAGTTTGAGCGAGTGGTGGGTGGTGGTGATGGGATAAGTAAACAGGCGTTGAGCTCGTTGAGTATGATGGATAGCTTTGTGAAGGAGTCGCAGAGGGTTAGGCCGCCGGGGGCGGGTGAGTCTTCTCTTTCCAATCTCTTCCAAACATGTAACTTTCTGAGTTTACCATCTGACAATGTTGGTATGAATGATAGTCACCTTCGAACGCAAAGTCCTGGAACCTTTTACTCTCCCAGACGGTACGCAACTCAAGGCAGGTGAGCATATCGCGGCGCCGGCGTTCCATGTTGGCTGGGATCCGGAGTATATTGAGAACCCGGAGGTGTTTGATGGGTTGAGGTTTCATCGGTTGAGGAGTCAGGGTGGGTTGTCTGCTACTAGTACTGGTAAGTACCATTATGTGTCTGTGAATGAGACGTCGTTGCATTTTGGGTATGGGCGGAATGCTTGCCCGGGGCGATGGTTTACGGCTTTTCAGATCAAGTTGTTTCTGGGGCTGTTGTTGGTGAAGTATGATATTGCTTCTGGGGGGACTTTGGGAGAGGGGAGTAAGAATGGGGATGAGGGTGAGGATACTGTCTGGATTAGAAGGAGGAAGAGTGGTGATGATGGTATATAGAATTTGTTGTTGTGATTAAAGGCAGTGTGGTGGGAAAATATATTTTGAGATGATGTATATAGATAAGATCATCCGTAATCGTTCTGTCAAATGCCCATCATAAGACTTTAAAACTACTATTATTCTTAGTCGAAAGATTGAAGATATGATTACAAGGTACTACTACTTTTACGAGTTGAAGAAATTAGAAGCGTAATCCGTGAGATTGCATGAACACTATAAGAGTGATATGACTGAAATTAAACAAATAGCAGCGGGTATATGTTCGTAACATGTCATAAAGTAGATCCAGTTCGGATCGATCAGAACAGAACAGACGCGCGTGGCGTTCTGGTGCTGATAAGATGGGATCTATGCAACGGCCTTTTGTGCCGAAGCGAAATCACCCAAGCATGACGCATGAGTATTTGACTCGACGCGTAGGGATTCCCTTTTCATGCTTGAAACTCTCAAGAAATTGGCTGGCACTCTGTTGCCAGACTGGCCCCAATTTGCTCCTCAAACAAACGGCGGAGCGATTTCTGAAGCGCTGAAAGCCTGATGGTGGAGGGTCACTAATGCGACCGGAGAAAATCATCTGTTGCAATACAAGAACCGCAAAGATACCCAGGAATGGAATAAATCCACAAGATATAAGCGTGAAAATTGTTGTAGGCTCAATCCTTGGCATGATGGTGTCTCAGACGATCCACTCCATCTCGTACGGTATCCCGCAGACTGAAGCCTCCAAACAGCCAGTCATTCGAGTGACGGCCGTAGTGGTTCACTGTGCCGCTGTAACGACGGTAGTCGTGGCCGCTTCTGCGCATGTGTGTGGGATGTACACGCTTGTTGGTCGCGCTGTCATCGGTGGAGATTCTGCCAGGAGACATGGTGGAGACGGGGCTCGCAGAGCGTCGAGGGGTAGAGTTTGCAGGAATGCTTCGAGGAATGTCGAAGCTAGATGAGGGAGAGGAGCGATTCGAAGGGATAGAAGCCGCGGTCGGAGAGTGGGAGCGCGACCGGAGGAATTGTTTCACGCTGGACAGGCGGCTTGCTTTGTGAGGTCTAGTCTTCGTAGCGTGGGAGTTGGTGGTGGTTGATGATGTGGAGGAAGTAGTGGATTGAGAAAGAGCCCGCTTGAGGGTGTTTGGTTGAGCGGAAGTCTGATGGTCGTCGTTCATTGCTTTGATTGAGGATATACCAATAAGGATGGATCAGAAAAGAGTGGGATCAGCTCGTGTAAAATGAGGATATTGCATCCAAAAAGCACAGGGGAAATGAGCGTATTTATGTTCCATCGTCCCCTCCTTCCGTGCTCATTCCGAGCATGTCTGGAAGCCCACCCATCAGCCTATCAAAACAGCACTGGCCCTATCCGGGGCATGGGGCCCCTGCCGGGAAGCCCGAGCGGACGAATGAAAGAATGCCAGCACCGAGGGGCTCCATCGATAGGGCTCAAATGGCCCCTTCTTGAGTCACGGACGGCAGCTGAATGATGAGCCAGTCGGTGAGGATCTCCAGTCGTCTCCACGCGTCTGCCCTATGCCTTACGAGCCGGCCAATCATCGTGCCTGTCACCGGGGAATGACCCATCAGGGGGCTCCATTTTCACCGCTAGATCCACCGCAGCAGCGTCCACAAGGCTGCCTTGATTTTGTCCGCTGTTCGGGCGCGCCCGTCGGAGATTGATTGTGTGTCCTTTAGTGATAGGCAGTTGGAATGTTCGTCCTCGTTGTTTTTGTCTGGATATGAGTGAGCTGTCAGCTCTAGGGCATTCCAGACAACTTCCAGAATTCTTCCCACGAAGCAACAGAACGGGTGAGAATTCAGCCCCCACCTTGCAGACAGGAATGATCGCTCGGACTTAGCGAGCAGGATAGGGAATGATGTTCGATGTCGGACTAGGGACGGGACATAGGGCTTACGGCTCACAGGAGGTGGTTTCCCAAGTGTTAGTCTCAGCTAGTGCTGATCTCCACCCTGGTCTCTCCCTCTCCTTCCCCTCTCCAGGCTACCATGAACCGGAGAGAACACATTCACGGATTGCTTTTAATAGCAACTGCGTGAAAATGGCTCTTATCTGAAACATGATCCCTGCTCAGATTGTCACGCTCCCAGTGCGGGATATAAGAAAATGCCTCGATGGAATGAAATGAGGGAATTACAAGGTAGGCGCTGCGCTGCGGATGGAGTCGAAAGCGAGGCCAACACAACAGCGACAGACAAGACAGAGACAGCCAGTCTCAGACGGCCTTCCCAATTGGGACGCCGGCCAGTGACCCACTTGAGGCTCTTGAGCTCGCCAATGACATCACGGCCCTTCACGTGCCCCGTGCCAAGAGGCTGGCCGGCACGCGCTTCCGAGCACAAGGAGATTAGGAGTTGAATCCTACTGGTATACGACGAGTCTTGATCCGAAGACTGTACTTTTCTTCATTTTCTAGTCTCGGTATGACCTACTGGTCTTGCTATAATACTAAA